CCAGGGGACCGACTTTCTTTTTTCTTCCCAGGAAAGGGCAGTCATTTGAGAATCTTCCTCTTTTCTGACACTTGCTTAGCCGAGTGTCAAGTGCCAGGGGAAGTAGGCAGACATCCACCAACATTTTATAGCTACTGAGTTTAAGCTGATACTAGGAATAGGAATGTTTCTAGCTTGTAGGAGAAACTGAGTGGGCTACATCAGTGGTGCACACAGTCACAGTGGGTGGGGGAGGTGACAGCTGAAACCAGACAGAATGCAAGCTTGAGAGTTGGAGCCCTGGAGTTATAGGTGGACAGTGGCTGTGGAGTTAGCTCAACGGGGCATTCTTCTCATGCTACCAACTCCTTTCCTCATTCCCATAGAGGCTCTGTTTCCTCGTAAGCCCATCTTTCCCTTCATAAGGTTCCCAGCATTTCAGTTCATAGTATTTAAGGACGTGAAGTTATTGGGTGGGTCATTATTTGTGGACTGGTGAAAATGTACCATAGATGGCCAGTATATAAATGTTATTCTTGAGCCCATAGGTTCACGCTGGTCAGCTCTGCCCTGCTTAGAGATATTTGTAGGTAGAAAACTTGAGGAACAGCTTCTCTGCCCTCACTACTCATGATATTTTATTCTCTCCCAGGACAAAAACTTAAATCAGCTAGGGGCTAGCAGTTGTAGCAAATCTATGGCACATGTGCCACAGTGGGCTGTTTGTATCATTGAAAGCACTAAAGGGTTTACCATCTTATCTTGGTTACTTTTCTCTCATTGCTGGGACAAAATACCCAACACCCCAAAATTAAGGAAGGAAAGGTTTCTTTAGTTCACAGTTTGTGGAAGTTTCAGTCCATAATCAGCTGGTTTCAAAGCAGGGTGCCATGGCACGGGGCAACAGGTGAAGGCAGCAGAAGATAGCAAAAGCAGCAGAAGCAGTGAAAGCAAGCCCCTTTTCTTCCCTTACATTGTAAGCAGCCTACACCCCTCCCCCAGGACAGGTGTAGCACAATCTCTGTGCCCTTTCTTCTCTGCACAGAATGAGGATGTTTACAAAGTGAGGACCGTAGCCCCCTGCTGAGTCCCTTGGTTAAACTGCTAAACTTTCAAGTTGACAATGTGTCAATCATAGCACTTTTTTTTTTTTTTTTTTTTGGTACTGCGAATTGAACTAGGACCTCATGCTTGCCAGGCAGACATTGTGCCACTAAGCTATATCCCCAGGCCCAAGAGCTGTTTCTCTTCCTGGGTTTTCAGCACATAGCCCCATGTAAGTACTATGGTGCCACAGTGTCCTTTGTACGGAGTGTTTTGTCTGGACTATCCATTCTCTTACCTGTAACTTGCCAAGAGGCCTCAGTTTCAGCTATCTTCAGCTCATTCGTTAGCCAGACTTCTTTCCACAGTTACTTCCTGAGTTACTGTCCATTTAATAATGCTTTGTCCTGCAGACTCCTAGAGGCAGGGATGGTATATTCATTTGCATTCCCAGGCCCTGCCGGGTTATCTGGTATGTGGTAGCTGTTGGGTGCATGTGTTTTGAATGGGCGAATGATAATGAATCCTGCCCTACTTCCTTGGAAGCTCTGGTGAAGTTGAAACACAATGCTATGAATTAAGGATATTGCCTGAATGCCTGGAGCTAACTGGCATCCCAGTAGCAGTTTGGACCATTTGCCTTCCTGGCAGTTTCCGTAGCACAAGTACACTTTGCTACCTGTGGCTCTCTGAGCCCTATCCTGCTGTACTCTCTAACTTGTCATGTCCAGAGCAGTTGTGATGGGGCAGCAGGGGAGGACGAGTTACATTGCTTCCAAAACAGGGCACATTCAGTCATAGTTTTCTACTGATTTGTACTCCCTTGCTTGGCTCTTCTGGCCTTTTAGATGTTAAGATTTTATCAAAGAGGCATTTCTTGGCTATAAAACATTCCTGAGAGGGTGTGAAATATTCCTTAGAAGGGCTAACAGTAGACCCAAAGTAGCTTGATCTAATTGTACATGTGTCCTTGCATTCAGGGCCCAGTAACTGATGAGCTCTGTGGCAGCAAGGGTATCTGCATATTTGAAACACGCAAACATAGATGTTCTTCCTCATTCCTATCTGTGTCCCACACCTCCCATAGTGCTTCCTGACTTTTGCAAAGAGACCTCAGTTTCAGTCATCTTCCTCCCGTTCCCTAGCCAGACTTCTTTCCACAAGTACTTCCTGAGCATTTAATAATGCTCTTTTCCAGCCTGAGCCAAAACCCCTGGCACATCCATCCATTTACCAATCAATCCATCCATCCAACATTGTTAAACACTACTGGTATGGCAGGCACTGAGGTTGCAGTGATTGAGACACGGTAATTTCCCTTAAAGACCTGAGCTGCTGGAGAAACAGACATAAACAGTACAGATAAATAGTGAATGTTGTGTTGCATCACAGACAAAGAAGTTTGGGAAGACAGCAGGGTTAAAGAGGTGAGGGAAGAAGAGAGAAGAAAAAGATCACTCCATAATCAATGTTTGCCATAGGCTTAGGTAATGACAAGTTTCAGGGTTACTATCTGCTAAATCAGTGGCTTTTAATGTTTGTGCTTTGAGTAGAAGAGCTGTTTTTCTAAATAAAATGTGACATTTCACTATGAAGTAAGTAAAAGCAGTATTTTTGGTTTAATTAGAGGTAGGGTGAAGATGGATTTAGAAAGCTCTTTGCATGGCAACGTCTGTGTTTCTGAGTCACAACGTCAGCTTTGCCTGAAGTGGTCACAGCTAGGATGATTTTACTTGGTGTCAAGGACAGCACTTTGCCTTGCAAGGCACTAGAACTGACAGGCTTGTTATAGGCAGACTGATAGGTGATCTTGTCTCTCCTGCCTTGGGCACAAACTAGATAGGCTAAACTTGCCTTTTGAGAAAGAGATTTCTAAATGTAATACTTAGACATAGGATGGGGTAGGTTAATGTGAGAAAATGGTTCTCTTTTCTGAGAATGGAATGAGTTGTTGGTCTTGCTGCCTCAGGGCAGAACTGTGTGGTGTGCTAATCTGTAAGATGGGGTGCCATTAATGGACAGTTTCTCGTTAGGAGAAAATGCCCATTATGAGACTTGTGAGAACTGAGGTCTCTGCTGGAAGTGCTGTGGGTTTCTGATCCAACCTTATCCTACGATAGTTACCCGGGGAAAGCTGTGGGGCTTTCTGGGACTGGTTAAGAGGACGCCTGGTCAGAGAAGGTAGTGGACCAGGCCAGCATTGGGTGTACAGCTGGCCATGCCAGTGGGCAGCATCACAGCTATTAACTGGCTGACATTTAATAAGTATTTATAATGGGATCAAATCATCTTATATAGTAAATATTTGTGTAGTCAATCCTCACAACCTCTTATTACATTTATTCTGCTCATGAGAAAATTAAGGTGTAGAAAGATTGCATGAGTGATCAGTGTGAAAGCTAGCATTTGAACCAAGGAAGTCTGCCTCCCCAGAGAATGCTCCTGAGCACTCACTTTCTGTACCTTCTATACTAGCCTCATGATAGCAGGATCATCCAGTGTCCCCAAAACGGGGATTCTTATGTGCAGGTTTCAATGTAATTGACCAGTTGCTGAATATTGTCTGTCTGTCTCTATATAAGCTTTTTTGTCTCCTTAAAAAACAATCCTCCAAATGCAGCCAGGTAAAGTTGGTGCTAGTGTGCTTTGCTGACCACTAAAGAGGTTAAATGAAATGCAGCACTTCCCATAGACTAGCTCTTGGCTTCACATGTCCCTGCACCCAGCCCCCTGGCTTGGGAGGCATGCGGGCTCCTAGTTGAGAGATGCAAGGGAGGGAATATGCTGGCTTCATTTTTTTCTTGCCCACGTGAAGTTCAGAACCCTCCTACCCATAATGGCCTTGGTTGTGTGATCTTTCTAGCTTTGTGACAGGGAAGACTATAAGGGCAGGACTTCACTAGAGAATCTCTGTGTGCAGTCAACATAACAGTGAGCCCAGCAGTTTTCAGTGCCTGCTCTGCCCCACCCCCCACTGCATGGTGCCAGTAAAGACTGTTTACCCAGACTCCTTGATATGGCTGCCTGATCCTCTGCCTGGGTCAGTTCTCTTACCACTTGCTAGTATTGGCGCGTGACAAGTTTGAGTAGGAAGAGGCAGAGACCAGAAGAAAAATTTTGAATTATCAGTGAGTGGATTTTCATTAAGTATGTTCTTTCCGCCTCTCATTACCAGGGATGAATAAGATTTGTGTTATACAGGATTAGATTGCTTGTGCCATTTTACAAGTAGAAATTTAGCAGTTTTTCTTAGAATCAAACATTAAACAAGGAAAACAAACCCAACATAAAAACCTCAAAGCAAAAAAAAAAAAAAAAAAAATCCAACAGAAAATGCTATTTTGTTTCAACTTATGGTCTCTAGGAAAAATTTCAAAAATATTTCTTCAAAGGACCAAACAGCAGGTCTCCCATTTAAGCTTTGCAACAGCTATAGGATGTCTCTTTCTCACATACCACTTTGAAATGATCAAATACTTTGTCTTGCTGTCTCAAATTTTGTGGCCCTGAATAGAACTGCCATTGTTCTCCAGCAGGGTACAGTTTGAGTGTCACCTCATTCTGGCAAAGTATCCACACAAACCAGTATTACTCTTGGCTCTGTTTCCCTTTTGTCCCCTTTCTTAGGAGCTCAAAAAGGCAGCTGGGTTTTGTAGGGTAGGATGGACTTGGATGTTTTCTAGTGATCTTCTAGAGGTAAAGGGACTGCTGTTTAGCCACCCTGGCACCTGGGTAGAAACTGCCATGGTCACCAGGAAGGGATTGGTTTTCCAGATAACTCTTACTAAAATGTACTCAGAAGAACTTCCCCCCACTCCATTTTGTTTCCAAAGTCAATTTATTGAATATTAAGTCATAAAGCAGGTGATATAATTTTAATGAAAAATATCTTGTATCACTTAAGACTTTAAAGAACAAAAAATACCCCTTAGAAACACTGCTTTGAAAAATAATCACATTAACTTTGCACACAAGAGTCCTTTCTTAAGCTTTATTTAAGAAATCGAGTACTATATAGTTCAATATATATAAGACACATCCAGTATTGTGTTCCTGATAGCAAGTGCATAGATTTTGTTAAGATATCATTTTCACTCGATATAAACGTTTCATGGTCACATGTAAGATAATATTCCCAGTGATTTTGCCCAAGCATGAGAGAAGAAAACAGAACACAGCAAAAATAGTGAACTACAACAGAAATGAAAAACAAAAACAGTGAGTTAGCAGAACAGTCGATTCCTGATAAGTGAATAAGCTGATTGTTTGGTCACAATATTTTATTCACTTATCAGGAATGATTCACAGTACATTTATGTTCACTGTGTTTCCTAGCCTGCTAGCTAAAGTCCGAGCTCATGGGCCACACGTAACTGCTGTAGGCTGCAGGTGTGTGGTTTCCATCAGCAAGGAAATGTCGATGGTTCTGTGCTTTCCGAAGGTGGTCCATGCATGGCAAATAGACCTTGTTCGCACTGCAATGGTGTTTTACAACATCAAACTTGTAAGATTAAGTGGGAGTCAACTTTACAGTCACTAAGTGCTTAAAGAAACTAGCATTTTCATCTTCTTTGGAGAATTACTTTGTTGTTTTTTCTAAAACAACAAAAACTGGCTTTGTCTTGCCCTTCATTTAGCATGAGTATTTTGTCTTATGCCAAATGGTGGTTATATTTACTTACATACTTTAAAAATAAATCCTTGCATCTTGGAAAGAATTTGTTTACCCTTTTCCCCCACTCTCCCCTCCCTCATCATACCTCCCCATTCTTCCCCAGAGAAGAAAGAAAAATCACATCTTTAGCCATCTAAGCAGTGGGTTCCAGAGACAAATTGATGAAAGCTCTGATGAGATTTAGAGCAGAAGTGTTGGCAGGAAGTCAGCTCCCATCTGTGCAGGTTTAGAGCTGATGGAAGTTACTACTACAGAGGTGTTTGGCCTCGGAGAAAGTCGCCTTTCCTCCACCTCACCAGGCCCCTCTTTTGTTGGCCCAACTAAAAAATACAATCTTGGGGCAGTTGAAACCAGAGGGTAGAGAGCCTGAGCACCGGCAGGGAGAAATCTCATTGGCACCAGGTGCTGGATGGCCTGAGGCAGACAGAGCTTGTGCGTCTAAGTTGAAAAGAGAGGGAAGACACAAGGTACAAACATGGATGGAATCTTTTAAGAGCACTTTAAGAGCAGTCAGATTCCTGAGCATAGAAGATGAGCACAAAAGGGACGAGGGCCTGTAGCTTAAGATGTAGATGGTGTATAAGAAATAATTCTTCGCTGATTACTGGTGTTGGGTGATAGTGGGCACACGGCTTACCCTTATGGATTCCTCCAGGAAGGTGTGTGGGTGCACATGGCCTTATGGGTTTTCCTTTGGAAAAGTACACTGTGGGGATCTTAGTGTGAGAGGCTGCACTTCCCCTCCAGATGGAGTAGAACTTCCATTTGAGCACTTGGAAATATTTTTTTTTCTGTTTTAATAGTTACTGTTGACTCTAGATTTAGTTACCTCATAGGAATGAATTACTTTTCTATACATACCATTTACTGATGGCAACTCGTAGATCTAAGTTTAACCCTTTAGACATCTTCTATTCACCAGAGTAGTACATTTTTTCACCCCTTGAGAGTTCACCTCTTTTGAAAAGGTCACCAGTTTCTAAAATGAGCTTGACTGTTATGGTGTGTGCCTTTGGACGTGGGAGTGGACAGAACAGACTCTGGGTCTGCTATTTCTCTTCTATGATTATGCAGCAGAAGATTCCAGGGAATGTTAAGATATGTTATACATATATGTATATATATGTATATATTTATTCATATTCATTCATGAGAGAGGGACAAGGGGAAGGGGAGGTCAGAAGAGGCGGTGAAATGATCCTGTGTGGTCAAAAGACCATCAATTGCCTTGGCAAATCCATCTTGTAAGCAGTTATTCAGGTGAACCATAGAGAAGTGTGTCAGTCTTTGAAGCAGTGGTTAGAGTGGGCGGTGTACAAAAATCAAATGTGGCTGATGTGCAGTTTTCCCTTTCCTCAAATCAGATATTCACTTAGCTGGAATCGACTGTTATCTTTTTTACACAACATATAGAAAAAAAACATACGTGAAACAGTGAGGTGTGTAGATGCATCACCAACATATAATGACTACCAACAATACAACACGCAGAGAGAGAAACAAGTATTAGGAAAATGGTTTAATATTGGAGACAGAAGCAAAAAACCGCATCACACAATAACATACATTACAAAAATAAGTTTGACTGTTTCAACTACACGGTTATGTTCACAATGAGGACAGAAGAATCAGAAAAAACTTTGATCTAAACAGCAAAAAAGCAAACCCCTAAAGCTTAACTAATACATTTATCCACTTAAAGTGACTGAGTACTTCTAAATCTAATTACCTTATTGTGTAACTGCACAATACAGAATAAAAAGTGAAACTTACCGCTGTATTTTAAGACAAAATTCTAATGCTAGATATAAGCAAAGGGAAAAAAAGAAATCAAGCCAAAGTTTTTAATTCTCAAAAGAAAAGCAACTTTCTTTCGATCAACCAGAAATCAAACTTGAAATCAGTCATTGTCAGGGGCCCACAAGAGTAAGCCACAAAAATTTCCATTTTTTTTAATCTCCAGTATAAAAAGTTCCACTGGTACAAAATGCGTAAGTACAATCAGTTGTAGAAATAGGAAAGCCTGCGTTGTTGTTGTTTTGTTTTTGTTTTTTTTGGCTCAAATTCCATCAAACAACAAAATCCAAATGCATCAATAAAACAAACAATACTTAAATGGTCTTACAGTTTCCACTAGGCTGCATTAACTTTGGCTTTTCTCAGACAGTATTTAAAAACTATTTTGTAGTATTAAACAAAATGGTATTATTAATCTACAAACAACAATTCTCACAGCACAAAAACACAAATACATTTTTTGTATGACATTATTCAAAAAGGTAATGAAACTACAGGTTTTTTTTAAAATTTTATTTCTTCTTTTTAATTAGCACTTAAGATAATAAGAGAATAAAAACAGAAACAGTAAAATGATTCCAGAGTAGCACAAGCCAAAGAACTATAACCCCTACGGTGAAAGAAAGATGAACTTGTTACGCCTTTGAGGACTGCCGTTTCATCACATTTCCCTAATTTACTTTAACATGACTATTCTCTACTCTTGGTTTTGAAAAAGTTGTCTTCCTGTGTGCTCTGCCTCCTGACACAGACCCCCTGCATCCTTGCAGCATTTTCTTTTGATATTAAAAGATGAAAGGACAGTTTGTCTTGGAGGAGGATTTATTTTAAACAATGAAACATACAAAACAAACAAACAAAAATCCATACACACACACACACACACACACACACACACACACACACACACGTACTCACTCTAAACAAAAAAGGACTTTCCCCCAAATGGACTGTCTTGGTTGCTTGCAAAATCATTAACACTCAACTCAAAGACTACACACTTTGAGCCTTCTTTCAGCTGCACTGTTTTTCTCTGGGGAAGATGCAGGTGGGTAAGAGAAAAGCAGGGCAGTTTGCTTTAGCACAAAAAAGTTTTTTTTTTTTTTAAATGAATAGATTCTGAATGTAATGGTCTAGGAAATTCAAGTGGTATTTTCTTGTGTTTCTATGTTTCTCCACACCATCATATAATAGATACATGAGAGAGATGTGCGGTAAGTAACTTAGCAAGCTGAGTGCTGCAGGAAGTACAAAATAGCCCTCGAAGGATGAAGGAAGGCCCCGGCAGTAGTAAACACGTGTGAGGATAATACAAATCACTGAATTAGAAGTGCGTGTGCTGTAAGAAGGAATTTTTTTTTTTTTTTTTTGCATTAGAGGCTAGTCCTTTCCATCCCAGGGTACACACACACACACACACACACACACACACGACCAAATGGGGTAGGTAAGTAGGAAGAGGGAGCTGAGACCAAGAAGCTTCCAGGGCCTGATTTCAGGGAGGTTGGATTTGTGGGTTGGGGCTGTGGATGTACCGGTAGGGTTTTCCTTCACAGCAAGTCAAAGTAATATGGCACTTTAAAAAGTGGCAGCAGGAATTGGTGCTTGGTAATTTGGTCAGTGATTATGGTAAAGAACAGAATTCTGCTTATATGGCCAGTCCCCTTTAAATATGTTCAGCTGAAAAACAAAAAAAGGAGAGAAAGGACAATGGGCTTCTCATTTCAGATGCCTTGCTTACATGGGAGGTGTATCCTGGGGTCTGAGAATGCCCAGCATAATGGCTGATTAAACATCTCAGGAGTGCTGCATTTAAGAAACAAAAGCAACCCCTCAAGAGACTGTCTACCTCCCCAAATCCTTTAACTGCAAGGCATCTGAAAATACTAGCACATATCACTAATCTGATCGCAAAAAGCATGTGGCATTTTAAAGGTTTAGAGGCTGAATCTACCTACTTTTCTCCTCAGAGGATTTACCCAATAGACAGTTATTTAAACTGAACGAACACAAGACATTAGGGATTCTTAAAAAAAAAAAATAATCAAGACTAATCCACGTAGAAGAAAAGATGTTATAGGTAATAAATTGTTTTTCTCCCTTCAATTTGGATCTTAAAGGATTAAAAAATGTAGTAAAAACAACTCAGAAGATATGAGGGAAAAAAATCCAAATTAGAAATACTTCAAAACAAATTCAAATGATGACAGTATAAAAAGTTACTAACATTCCAGATAGCTCTGGGTAGAAAGGGTTAAAAGTTCAAAACTTTCTCACCTTAGAGGTTTCCATATATTATGAAGAAAATACATTGTGAGGTTGCCTTCACAGCATTGATGGGCAGAGTGGTTAAAAAAGTGAGACATGGGCACTTATACAATGTCTTACAAAAAACATCATAGAGAAATAACAAACAATAACAATTTCAGGCAACAAGACCACAGAATAGCAAGTTAACAAACTTTTTAACCTTTTTTTTTTTAAATATTAGGGATTTATACAAAACACATAATAAAATACCCATGTTATCAAATTACTTCTCACAAGAAACACACTGAAGCTCTAGGAAGGAAGTACCTTTGGAATTTGGCACTATATATTTTCACTTTTTTTCTTTAAAAGAAAAAAAAAAAGATCACATTTTGCTGAACACAAACACGTCTAAATAGTCCACAATAAAAGAAAAAAATGACATCAATGCTTCACAAGCCAACACAAAACTTATTCTGGAATAGGTTTTTTTTTTTCCTCACGTGAAATTTTTTAAGCAAACAACTTTTTTTTGAAATTCTTTTTTTGTTTTAAGTAAACCAATTCTAAGCTTGTCTTATCAACAAAGAACATTAAGACCATAAGACTCATGATGAAACCACAACTTAATTCACGGAAGCACCAACATAACACAGTTTACAGTAACCTTTCTCCTGTACATTGAAACAGTATAAAATATAGGTAATTTCATGTGCATTAAACCATGGATTGTCTAACTGTGAGTCAGTTCAGCAAAAGGTGACACAAATAGGTAGCATTTGCCCCAAAACAGGGTAAATATTTTTCTTATACTAATCTACAAAAAGTGGTTCTATATATATATCTTAATGAGAAAGTGAGCCACCTAAAATGGCCTTATCAAAAAACTTTACACTGCCTGAAAAATGTAAAAACTACAGACCTCTAGAGACTTAAAATCAGACAGTTTTTTTTCTCAAACTGTTTTTGGAAGTAGTCTGTTAGAAACCAACATTCTGTGTCCCTGGACACATATTGCTATTGTTACCAGTGACCGGGAAGAATGCCAATCCCTGTATAATACTTTCAAGTCTGTTTTGTGAAAAGAAAAAAAAAAAAAAAAAAAAAAAAAGAAGAAGAAGAAAAGAAAAAAAAGGAAACATTTTTGCCACAGGTTTTTTTTCCTATAATTAATTTGTCTAATTTCAGTCTTGCATGAATGCAGCAATGTTTTTTACATTGACTTCCCAGAATTCATAGCTAGATGAGGTCACATGCAAATTTCAAAGGTCAAACTAGATCAAAGGTCAGTAGGAGAACCAAATATGATGTGAGGTCAGAAAGACATCAGAAACAATGACGGGACGATGAAACTTTTTTTTTTTTTGAGACGCCACAGGGACATGCTAGGCAAACGATGAACTAACGGGCATGAAGATGTCTAGGGAAAAAACAAGGAAGAGTAAAAAGTTACACAGAATCTATGCAGCAGCAACAAAATCACTTTTAAGGGTGCAGGAGAAAAACTAATGCAAATCTTAGGTCTTTAGGGAGTCTACGAGCCATTCACATAATTTGCATTTCTTACACTCTTTTTCCACAGCACAATGAAACCCCAAGAGAATCCATCTGGAGAGAGTGAGAGGGGATGGATTCTGGGTGTTTTGGGGTATGGGACTGGCAAGGGACGTGGGAGAAGGTCCAGTTTGAACAAAGGTGACATATGGGGAAGTCAGACGACTGAACTGTAAACTAGATAATGAAAATTACGAACAAAATAACCAGACAGATACAAACAACGAGAGGATAAAGCATGAACTTTAGGTCTAGGGTTCAACGGTGAAAAAAAGCCCATTCCTAGAACAATTCCTCTAGAGACTACTTCAGAAGGTTCTAGCTAGACAGAGAACTGCTCTTTAGGTATCCAATAAGTTAACAATAGGCAATAAATAACTTCCATTATTTCTGAGGCAGTAAAAATTTTGTATAAAAATAGAAATGCTTTTTTTACAAATAAAATTTACAGGCCTGTGGCTTTCTTTTTTATTTATGTATTATTTATGTATTTATTATTATTAAATTTATCTTTCAAGAAACATCAAGTATTTTCACTCATTTTTATTTTATTTTTAAACCCTGTAGCTTTAAGAAACAGATCTCTAAATCTTTTTTACATTAATCCTTTCTAAAAACAAAAATAAAACAATAACAAAATAGACAACCAGTGTAATAATATGACCAGTAAGTGTCATGTTTCTTTGAACCCTAAAATAAAATCCTACTTCTTAAACCGATGTAGTGGAAAGACGTTTTGTGTTGTTTTAAGTGCTTCTCCTGGCTTCTCCCTCTGCTAGGCCACCACGTTACTCTAAATGCCGCTGGGGGCCCTCCGAAGGGGCAGGTGGCGCGGACAAAGAGGGGTGAATTCTCCAGGCAGTGCTCTTGGGGCACCAGTGGTTTCAGAGTTAGAATTGCACATTAGCTTTTGTTTGCCTTTTAAATTCTCAAGATGTCATTTATTTGTGTGTATGTTTTTCTTTAAAAAAGCAAAAACAAAAAAAAAATTTTAAAAAAAGGTAAAAGGAGATTCAAATTGCAAAACAAAGGAGAATACAGTGGCACAACTGGAGGAGGAATTTACGCAATAGAAATAAGGTAGCCCAAGTTTTATGGCAAACTGGGGGATGGATGGGGAAATGGAGGCCTTATTGTAAAAATAATCGTCTCTCTTGGTAAAAGTTGGCAATGTGGTCCTCCTCTGCCTTCCCTGTTGAGAACAGGCTGGCTTGTGGGACTTACCCTAAGAAAGCTAAAATAAGAGCAGGGAGCCGCTGGGGTTAGGATCAGTAAGGTTTGCTGTCATTTTTGGAGCGTTTCAGCTGCACCTTCAAGCGTTTCATGCCGATCTGAAAACCATTCATAGCTTGGATTGCAGCTTGTGCAGAAACTGGATTGTCATAGCTAACAAAACCTGGAAAATACAAAGGAAAAGAAGAGAGGTAGTCAAGATGGAGAGGAAGCTTTCAGGGATGGCTGGTATAGTGTTATTACAAATGCTAATAGGTGCCAGTTCCATGGTCTCAATTTTATACTGCTAAACTTAGGGTGTGTCGTGAGTGTTTTAGGGATACGTTTAAGGGACAACAGTGGAAATGTCCACTGAGTAAAAGGAGTGAAAAGTTAAGTGACTGGTAATTTGGTATGTAAGATAAAACTCCCTAGAAGACAAAAACCTCAAATTTGGTTGTTTGAATGAATTTAGTCTCCTTCTTTGAATCACCCGTAGATAGGTAAACACTACTCATATCAGCAGTCATTGTAGTCTGAAACTGAAAGAGGCCTCAGCAGCTCCCATGTTCCAGCCACGAGAGGCATGAAAGCAGGACTGGAAAAGGTGCATACTACCAGAGGCCTTCACTGTCTGTCTACCCAGTTTTCCTTATACAGAATTAGACAGGACCTGTGTCTGTTTGGCTAGAGGATGAGTTAGTGAATTAACCCATTACTGAATTAGAATAAATTACACTTAAATTTATAACATTTTGGAGAACCTAGGGAAATGCTGGGCCTTTGGCTCAGTTTCCATTTTCAAAACCTCCAGTAAATTTAACAGAAGACTGTTACCTTTTACCATTCAAAGTCTTCTTGAGAAACAGGAATAAATGGTTTAGCTCAGGGCTTACCCATCTGAACAGAATTCCCAGGATCTTTCGCTGCAGCAACCACTGCAACCACTACCACTAAGAAAATAGGAAGGACATGCTTTTGAAAAAGAACCAGTGATGCTCTCCAGGGACCCAGAAACAAGAGAATTCTGATCATATAGTTTGTTCTAATACTGTGGGGTGATTCCAAGGGAGAGATGCAAGCAAAGCTTTAGTTAATGCTGAGGCAAGTGATGAGCTTAGTAGTTCCTAGGACTTCTAGTGTTGACAGGAAGCTACTACTCAGATTTAATTTCAGTTCTGAACATCAACTGCTTAGAAGGTTCTAAACTGTCTCCATCTATCTACTGTTAAATTTTAATGCTAAAGAGAAGATTCCTTTACAAACTAGAAGAGAAGCAAAAGGACAAATATACTTTGAGCTAAATTTTCTCCTCATCTGACAAAAATGGGCATACAGCACAAGGCAGAGAAGCTTTTCTCAGACAGGCTGTCTTGCAAAAATGGTTTACTTTTCTATTATATCTCCTTCCCCTAAAATGTGATCTCAAGTCCAGGATTTCTGTTCTGATAGCTTTCCCTTGGGGTCTTTATGCAGAAGTCTCAAGATGACTAAAGGATGGAAATGGGTCAAGAGTGAGATGGACAACAAAACCTAGCCAACAAGTACAAATGAAAGAAGGGCTATCATCTAATAACTAGTAATCCAGCGAAAGGGGACCCTAATGAAATAGGCTGGCTCACTGAGAAACATGGGATGGGCTTTTTATAAAACTTTAAAACATAGCTCCTAATGCTAACGATAATCTGCTGATTTTTATAGCTATAGTTTACATTGTTATGAACACATTAGTAGTTTGTGGATTGATAATCCCTTTCAAAGTAATAAATATTTCTCAAACTACAACGCACAATCCTTTCCCAGTCTCCTAATAAGTGTAGAATATTGTTTGTTTGTAAAAAAAAAAAAATTATACAAGGCTACCTCAAAACCTTGTGCAGGAAAGCCTCCCAAAGGCAAACTCATGTTCACACCCTATATAACAATTTCCATTTCACTCCCAGGAACCATTACCAAGCAGTGTACACAGTCCTCATAGAGCAGCAGCAATAGTGTAATGGGTTTGGACTGACAGCCTTCCCATTAGGGTAAAAACAGTGACTTGAAGTGGTTGACATACTAATTCCCCTAACAGCAGAGCCTCTGGCCTTCCTGGGTGATGGCACATTAATTAGAAAGACTTTACAATAATGGAGGTTTAGAAGCCACGATGTTCTCTTTGAACTGGTTTTCCACTGCCAGTCAGCCAGCTTGTGAGTTTTTAGCTGTTTGAGAATCATCCTACTTTCAATATTTTTTTCTTACAACATACAATTCTGTGTGTTTCTTCTGGCCTGTATCTGTTTCGTGTTATGCTACTCTTACTGCCTACTACCAACGTGAATCATTAAATTGCAGGAGTGATTAAAGCAAATGGTATAACGCAAACTGGGTCAGAACTTGCCAAATGAGTAATATGTGCTTTGAACATCCTGGCCCCTGAACTACTTAGTGGGCCAAAGAGTTTGAAAACAAGAGGGAATAGAATTAATCAGTGTTGTCCTCCTGGTGTGAAAACATTAGCACATACTGGGGATTACAACAGGAGGCAGAGTCCAAGAGAGCTGCTTAAGGAGGTAAAGTTTGATAACTAAGCTAGCTGATACAGTTAGCTTTAAGCAGTACTGAGAGCTTGGGCTTCCTGCATAATTTCTGTACCCTGTAACCATTCCTGTAGCTCCTGCCAATATTGCAAGGCCAAATTCTGGCCCTTTAATCCCATCAAGACGCTCTAACTATGAGATTCATCAAATGATCATCCTAGGTTCATGGAATTGAGGTGCTAAGAAGTTAGCTGCAAAATGTCTGTAGTACTATTTTTATATCAACAAAGACAATAGTCTGTTAACTGTGTTTCCATTGATAAAAGTTCATGGTTAAATCTGCAGAATATGAAGAAATAATCATGCTGTTGTTTTGAATTTAAAATTATTAAAGTAAAACACTTTAATAGTACAGTATGTACAGTGTATTACCTAATGTAAGGGAATTTCCAAAATAATTTCCTTTTATTTTGGTTAAACAACTTTGCCTAAATCTGCTTACATGCATACAGAAATCAACCCACTCAAGACACAAACAGGAAGACCCTATCTTGATTCTAAAAAGATCTATCATTTCATTTTTCCCTAGTTGAGAACCTTCTGGAATATTCTTAGTTTCTTTTGCATACCAAAGCACTTGCTCAGATTGGTCTGTTTGTCAATGAAGACTTTAGCAGAAATAACATTTCCAAAAGGCATGAACATCTGCAGAATGTCCTGGTCTCCAAACTCCTGTGGAAGGTGGTAAATAAAGAGGTTTGCCCCCTCTGGACCTAAAGAGGAAGAAAAAATCAGTGTAAGGTATCCCTCAAGTTTTAGTTCCCAAGGCTTCTTCTTAGGAAGGTTTTAACAACATGTGGGCTAAACATTTGGCTTTCTCTTATAAAAGAGTGAATAGAAAGATAAATGTCAAGAGCTGGCATGTCTTTCAGGAAAGCACTCATCCTTCTGATTTTTCTAATTTTCAAAAAGATACTGGCTACACATAGCTTTCTTTTCAGAGTTGTCTGTGAATCCCATGTACTTACTGCATGTTAGCACTCATTTGATTCTCCTCTTCATGGGAATGAAGACGGTAGTAGGGAATAAGATAGGAGCAGAGTGTCTATGCATGAGATTTTTCTGGTGACCATATTTTTTCTTACATGTAGATTATCTCTTAGAGGAAAAAAGAAGGTTCTGTGTATTCCAAGCAAATTGCAGCAAATTAGAATAATGAATATAGCAGCAATGCTGCTTAGATTTCCTAATCATTAACCAGTTAGTCAGTTTTGATTTGGCAACTCTTTTAATAAGCATCTTTATTATTATGACTGGGAGTCTATGCCTGGGAAAGAAAGGTAGCTAGCCTCTCGTAAGTTTGATAAGAATTTTACACAGGGAATTAACCTTGGAAATGAATGCAGAGGATACAGAGCTTCTCAGACTGAGCTAAGCCAACTCTTTATCCTTTTCTAGCAAGTATCAGAGATAGGGACAGAAGAGATTTTCTCAGTTATATTGGGTAGAGAAGGAAAGCACTTTTAAATTCTTTTCCATTTCACTCTCTGAATCCTGCCAGATTGTACATGAACTGTCTGAAAGTTAAAAATAAGGAATCCAAGTAAGGTGAATGGAGAGTAAGGGCTGGATGTCTCTTGGACATTGTGTGTTAGGAATAGGAGCTCACAGAGCTGCTGAAGTAAATTCTGTAGCTGGTATATGGATTTGTAGCTGGCTTTCACAGGAGAGGAAGCAAGCCTGCCTGCCCTGTCAATAAAGCCCCAGGGGACAGGCTGTCGTGGTTTCCCTAGAGGTAGGATGGGTGGCTGTGTGTGAGTTGAGAAATAAAATGATGACAAAGAAGAACTTTATAAAAATAAATGGACAAATACCTTTTCAAAGAATGTCTGAATTTCTTCCCTTGCTCCCATAAAATCATAGTGTCCCAATGACTGGGACTTTCACAAGAAAGATTTTGAAACTATGATTGACACCAGAGACACTTTTTTCCTTAAAGATGTGTCTGCCTGAGTACTCTAACTTTCTGTATTGGTGACAGATACTACAGCTGGGCCCCTGTTGCAGTGCAGAGGAGGCACCCTGTATTTTAAAGGGACATAACTACTGGGCTTACTTAATATGAATAGGTCAAACACCAAAACATTGGAAATGGAGGGCCACGGCCATCCTTCGCAATATGAATATTGGTCAAATGTGGTACTACCCAATTTAATATTCCTTCTGAATGAAAGATCCAAATGCACACATCTCTTCCTGAAACCTGAGGAAAATTAACATTTAATGCACAGGGCACTTCACTGGTAAGCTTGAATAACCCTGGCATTCTGAATTCTGTACATTTTGAATATATCTATGCCAGATGAGAGACCATGAAAATCCAAGGACAGCTGGAGGGAAGGAAGCTTTGCCCTTTTGCTCATTATTTTCCCAGAGAAAAAGCCAATGGCATCTCCTGGTTTGCCCCCACAATCCACAAAACTATTACTTTTTTTTTTTTTTTAAATCACCAAGAAACTTTTATTTTTTAAACTCCCTGATTTTTACTGTTAAGAGGAGGAAAAGATAATTTCATATGGAAAGCACCTTTATATGCAACTGAAGTGGCCATTACCTTTTCCCCAGGAGGATGCCACCCGTGAATTGTCCTTTTTCTCAACATCTAGAAGTAATACAACTCTATAAATTAATCACGCTTTCGTCCAATTTCTCCTACTATCTGCCATTCTAACTCGGGAGAGTTATTGTTGTTACACTGCTGGTCCCAGTTAGTTGGAGTGTTTATATTTTGTATTTCTCACAGAGCATATGATGTAGCATAAAACCCTCAGAATGTCTGCAGGAACAAAGCTGTACCAGGCCATCAGTGCCCCTGGCTTCCTGTTGGGGCCTTGAAAGCCCTAAGTTGTGTGTGTTTTGACTTCTACCCTGCGAATGAAGGAAGATGGGAAGGTATGAGAGTACAGTCAGGATATTTAGGAAGGACAAAAAAGGTGGTGAGTTTTCCTACATTTCGATCTTTTGGGATGCCATAACCTTTTGGAGGATTTATTTGGGAAAAAGTTAATACCATTTATTTACAAGACAGACTTGGTTCATTTTTCATATGTTGGGGAGAGAGGAATTCACTAGGGTATAGGACTAAATACACTATTACCTTTCAGCTCTGTTGACTAAAGGACTAACCGGAGTAGGTAATCCAGGTTGCTAATAGAATTCATTGCTTTTTCTCCTCCTAATATAATTTGCCTTTTAAATTACATTTTACTTAAACTAACATGTTAAATTTCTTGAGCTACGTTACTCAGGTGTAGGCAAGAGTTATTTTGACCTATTTTAAAAATCCCTAAAATTCAATGCAGAGAAATTTAGGGCAGTAATGAAGCAGTTGGAAAAAAAAAGTTTTAAGGTCCACTTCAACCACTGAATTTTGTGTCTTTCAGCCTTAGGCATTTTCTTGGTGACACAAGTTTGCTATAAGGCCTTGCTAGATAATGGAGTGGTAACCATATTCTGTAAAAGCACACAAGGTCTCTGAGGATATCATCTTAGAGGAACTTTCCTACCACCTTGCATGATAATCCCACCTAAGGCAAAAGGACTAAATACTGGAGGAAAGACCTGTGGTGGATATGGTGCAGGGTCTCTTTCATTGGCTGGCAAAACACAGTGTTAACAGCCGCAACTGAGAGTGAAGAGAAAGCTGAGATGATATAAAAAACCCGGACTTTCACATGCCTTTCATTTTTAACGATCTCTATGTTGTTTATAAAAGGAAAATTTTAAGCTGTGTTCTCTTAATTTTCAAAGGAAAATGATTCTTACAGAATATTATGCTTTAAGTTAAGAATATTCAGACAAAAGCATTTTGGAACTTTGAAGTGAGGGCAAAGGAGAAAGGAAACTTTAGAAAATCTTCTTTATTAATTTTCTATTTTAGCTCATTTTCCCAAATTCTAGATAAGTCAGGAAAAAGAAATAGCTTTTTGCTGATTTTAAGGAAGAAGGGCTCAAATGGAATGATGACAAACTATTCAGATTAAGTCATTAACCATTTTATAATTGACTTTAATTTATCCTTAGCATTAACTTCAGTGATGTGTACTTTGCCTTTATTGGCAGAGAAGCAAGGCAATCAGTTACTTGCTTTCCCAGAAGACCTCCAATTTAACAAAGATTAAGTTGATACTAAGGGTGGGTTTCATCATTAGCTTGAGAAGCATCGGTTACTGTGAGGCAGCCACTCAATGACAGGGGGAATGGGTCCAGAGGTCCTGGGGAGTGCAGGAAGCAGCATGGTTAACCCACAGAAGCCTTCTGCTGCTAAGGAGTTCTGCATTAACAGAGAAACTGCTGGTCCATGCTGACTGGGGAGAGGGAGTTTCTGATGGCGGAAACTAATGCATGCATGTAAAGGAACAATGGGTGAGGACTTCAGCTTACCAGCGGAATGAAAAATTTAAAGATGAACAGGAAAGAAGACCAATGACTTAAGCTTGCAGTTTTTAAAAACAAGAACATTAGAAATAAAACAAACGATTTCTCTTATGATATGGGTTCAGTTTAGCATCTTCTAAGTGTGCAAATGTAAAAAGGCAAATGTAGAGCTGGCCCTGCCAGGCCCTGGTGCAGGCTCAGGGCAGGCACATACCTTCCTTTTGGCTGCCCGCAGCGCTCTGCTGTTGCAGCAGGCTCTGGCTGTACAGAGTGGGCAGAGCAGCTGCTGCGTACTGCTGAATTCCTGAGTAGGCCTGGGTGAGGGCGTCCATGGTGCCAGCTGTGCCATTCGTCAAGCCTGTGGCGCCAAGTCCTCCATTCAGAGCCGCCATACCTGAGAGCATTTGAGCAACTTTACAAAAAACCCAACAATAGAGAAGAGAAATAGCACTTATTCATTAGTGCTTTCCAAAGGAAGTTAGAGAATCATTTGACACAAGTACAACAGCAAGTGCATGCAGCTAGCACACCAATTAAACCAACAGAAAATCAAAAACAAAACCATGAGGAAATAATCACAATAATGGGAAAAAGACCTAAGTAATGATAACCTTCACTCCCTAGGCCAGTAATCAAAATTCACTGAGGCACTACAGTTAAGACAGTACATCTTAATTCCATGCAATGTGCTACTGGCAAGTACCACTGTTATCTTTTTGAAATAAAAGCCTTCTGCTTCTTAGTTTAGATGCATGTAGAAAAAATTAGTGGCAGAGGCCTGTGACTTCTGTACACTTAAATCCATCTACTGGACTCTTTAAGAAGCTATGGGATGGCTCAGTGGGGTAAGGAGGCAAGGATAAAATAGAACTTTTTTCCCTGATGAAGAAATGGAAGAACAGATAAATTCTGTGTTCTAAGAACCAATGAGTCAGCAGTGCCATTAGCTGTTTTTTCCTAAACAGGTGAAATGTGCTGTCAGGGACAAGGACCTTAGGAATAAATTGCTTAGATGATTTAAAAACTAAGGAATGGTAGTAAATGTGAATGCTTTCTATAACTGCAGAAAACTCTATTTATTTCAGTTAAAGGACGGAAAATAAATGGTGTGGTCTTAGCAAATACTTATTGTATACATATGTGCACCCACACATGTATATTAATTGTGCCCAAGTCACAGCTTTGTGCCAGTGAAAGAGCTTCCTGTCGTTTTTTCCAGCGAGATGCAGTGACACTGTTTGTGTGCTGGATGCTGGCTATTAATTGATGGGAAATGGATGTTGATGAGTTAGTTGCTCCCTTGATTTTGTCTTTGTATCTTGGCTGCTCTATTCTGGTTGCTCACTGTGTCATATTTTTCTTGAGAATTGAGTCAAAATAAACAGGGCTTCATAGAATGTTAACTTTTCATGTAAATGCGGGAAATGGAAGAGGCAACATCACAATTGTCTCTGATTCCCTTTTTGATTAAAAGGTTTCTAAAAGATCTGTTTCTCAGAAAAACTTAAAGCATTAATGAATATTTTGATGAGATTATGGTTATTGACTCGCAGTATTAAAATAGCAAGAATGACTAACTGAAGAAAATTGTAAGAAATCTAACGAGAACAGAGGATAGCTAAGATAAGGATGCTTGCAAATTATACAGAGGAATCAAATAGAATCACCTTAACATTCCTATCACTGTTCCTGCTTGCCATCCACAGGAAATAGAGGAGGTAGGGCATGTCCTATTTACGCCATACGTGCTTCTCTTATTTTGCCACCTTCATCTCTTAGATTAAAAGGACAACATGCAAGATATAAATTAGACCATGGGTTAACTGTAGAGGGCTCTCACAGGTCTGGGATTCCTGCTCGGGGGCCTGCGGGGACAGAGTGGGCTGTGGGGGATAGTTCAGAGAAATCTAAGAGGTCTAGGCAGGTTTGAAGGGCTTGAGAATGGAGTAGCAACCCAGTAAAGTGGTTTCTAGCAAATATCTGCTTGCAGTTCTTTCTATGAAAGAGTCTATTCTTTTTTTTTTCTGGTCATGCAAATTGTCACTATTAAAAAGCTTAGAAATAGTTTGTCCTGCTAATTCTAAACAATTACTCAGACACCACTAATCACATTTACCTCACTCTCTTCACCTTCATTTCTGTTGTTTTGGCTGCTAAAGGGCTGGGGAATAATTACTCTTTCCTCCTTTGCTCTTATTTCATCCTAACTTCCCAGTACTTGTGTGATACAAAGAAACTTCCATGTTTTCTTTTTAAGAGAGGTGAGAGGAAGATGTAAAGTGACATTGTTGGGGAGGAGGCACGCCTGAGAAGTTCTATTGGTTCCACTTGCATCAGGCTGTTAATAAGTGCTACAACTAGATCAAGTCTTGTGCTCAACCCTCTGGAAACTCAGACTCCTATGTGGGAGGAATTTCTAACAGGAAAGTGAGTGATGACCTGTCAAGTCCACTTATGCCTCAAGGTGTGTGGTTCTCTTTGGTTTATGTGGCAGCCTAGGAAGTGCTGAGTAGCAAAGCTGAAGGTCCTGGCTCTACAGTGATGAATAGTGGAGCTCTGAATCCCCCTGCCACTCCATGGAATTGGCAAGACTGATGCATCTCCATGTCTTGCCAGGTAAGGGCCTTGGAGTTTTTTTCCAACTTTGCAATTTAGGCCCCACAAGAACGTCTTCCTGTGGTCTGCACCTTCTGCCCTTCATCTTCTCCAGGAAGCCTGTTTGTCGTGGGTCACTGGTACCCTATCTTTCTTCTTTCCTTCCTTCCATCCATCCATCCATCCATCCATCCATTCATCCATGACATTTTCTATTATTTAGGTTGGAGAATTATGTTTTAAAGTCTTTTCCCTGTTTTGCCAACTTTTTCCCTCTTAGAACAGAAACAGAATGAAATTTTATGTTCTGAAAGTATCAGAGGGATTTAAGTCCCAATGATTGGCTGTGTTTTCACACTACACCTCAGGGAAAAATTTGCTCTCTAAAGGGTTGTTTGTTTCTGCTGGTGCTGTGTGCTTGGGAGTACTCATGATTGGCCTCACCTGCCTTGGTATGGGGAGGAAGGTAGGAGGGAGGCATCAGGTGGATGGGATGTAAATGCAAACGGGGAACTAGTCAGGAGCCCATGTGAACAACAGAGGGACAGTTTGGCTTCTCCAGCTCAGGCCTTGCCTCCTCTATGGTATAACCATCTTTAGAAAAAAAAATAAAGGCACAAATTTTAATAATGGCAAGCACATTGAGAATACTAAAACTCAGAATTTGCCTTGGAAAATGGGGGTGGGTATTTATAAAACTCAAGGTAGAAAAGACAATGAATACATGGCAGATTTTGAGGAAACAGCAAAGGAAGATTTTAACTTTTAAAAATAATTCCCATGAATTATCTGATGTATGTTATTCCATAGTAAATAATCATTGTATCAAAGATAACGCTTGTCAACTTAGCTGCTGGTACAATTACTTCTAAAAGCCTCAGACAATAGAAGCAGGGGTGAATCAAGTTGAATAAAATGCTTTCACTTAAAAGAACAGGGCTTTTTTTTTGAAAAGGCCAAATGGATTGACCATTTCCCTCTCATTTACTCTAGACTCTCATGCAAGTTATTTTGATAAGGAATAATGCAGGAATAATGTAGTAGGTGAGACAGATTTTTACAAGGGAAGTATCTGTAAATGGTCTGTCTATGTGTTTTACTCTTAATTATTCTCCTTAGGCCCTCAACTGATAAGAGACCCAAAAAGCTCTGAGGTTGCTGAGTAAATCTGTTAAACTGACACACACACACACACACACACACACACACACACACACACATCCCCATAAATATAATCATGAACATTTTTAGGGCCACTATATAGTTGGTACTGAAATGTAGTATCAGTAGTAGAGTACCATAAACAGACTTTATTTGCAAGCCATTCTGTTAGGTTTTATACCAAATAAAAAAGAAAAGGAATATAATAATATTTTCTAACACATTTGTAATCTTTCTTGGATAAATTTTGTTTTGTATATATGAGCTATGTTATTACAAGCTATTCAGTGAAAACCTAAGTATCAAATGTCTGCATCTAGATTAGAGAAATAAAAAGTATGAATACCATTAGTGGCACCTTCATGTATGCTTGTGTTAAGGTGACAAACGTGTGGCATTCTGTGCACTCATGTATGTATCTTATGTCTACACATTTTAATAAATTCCAAGATTACAGATTACAGAAGTAGTTTCAATTGTTGAAATGCAGAATAAAAGGGATAAGGTACACTACTATGACTAAAGCATCTTCTTTTATCTTTACATGAAATAGCTGTGTAAACACTCCTCACCAGACATTTGGGACTGGTTATGTTCAAATAATCATAATTTTACATTATGGTAAGCTATTTAGAAGAATTAGGCAGTAGTATATCTAGAAGAAATATACAAGGAAAAATAAAGATGCTGCTTACATTTAAGCATTACCAAGTCAGGTGCAAACTTTTGGGTCAACATAACTGAACAGTTTTTTTTTCATTTTAGTTCAGATATTAATCTATATAATGTGCCCAGGGGAGCCTAAAAAAATCTAGCAGTGAAAGGCCTGAATTACTTATGATCCTTCTTCTGACCTTGCTGCTTTCTGCTTTTTAGACAGCTAGTTTTTTTAAAGCCTCTTCAGTAATGTACAAAAAGGGTATCAAACCCATTTTAATTTAGCCACTTATCTACAAACCCAAAACTCCCTTTCAGAAGTGGAGACCCAAAGAAGGGAAGAAACATCAAATCAAGACTAAGATTGGTCATCTGCCTACTTTCTTTGTTTCTTGGTCCATGAAAAGTGTTGGTCCCGTTAAAACCAAACCAAACCAAACCAAAATTTTACACTCCTTGGAGTATCAGGTAATGGTTTGTAGGACAGAAAAGAGCAAAAATATGGAAGCTGTGGTCAGCTATTTTAGAATATAATTCTGTCTACAAAGCTATTTTTATTAATTTCTTTGAGAACTATCCAGTAGAACAGGTAGTATTATCAGTTCCATTGAGGCACAATGACTTGAAAGAGGATACTCTGTTCCATAAAGAGGATGCTCTATTCTAGCAGGCTTTCTCTTGAAGTTTGAGACAAATATCAAGCAATTATTCGCTCCAAGTCAATTTTGAGGTAACAGCTTTGTAGTAACATTTATCAAATGAGAAGCAATGTGTTTCCATTTGTGTATAATTTTTGGTTTGAACATTTTCCTGGTTTATCCTGACTGGTAGGGGTTATTTGAAACCAGAAACATTCTTAGTTTCCATAAACTATGAATTTCAAGAAGCAGAGCAATTTAAAGCTGTTGTCCTTGCCAGAGCAAATTTGGTATAATATTATAACACCCCCGCACAAGAACTAGTTATGGTTTCTTTGCCATTCCATAAGTCCCTCTGTGGTCTTCACGATTACGATGGTAAAAGCCCAGAAACATATGACAGAGTAGGGTGGAGAGGAGCAGGACGTACACGAGAGGACATACACACAGCAGTCATGAGCACGTGCTGAGGAGGACAACCATTCCCACTGGCCTGTTACTCTGCAGACCAAGGACAGGCGGGCGATCAAATCAAAGTCCTTGTTTGAGGGGAACTAGGTCCTGGGGCAAGAGAAGCAGCATGAGGGCATGTGGGTGAACGCATACGTCCTCAACCTAGGTGAAGGACATGTGGGCTGGCACTTCTGCAGGACAAGGTCAGAAAGAGGAGCCGTACCAGAAGCAGGAGTCAAGGCAGTGAGGCTCCTATTAGTCTGCTGGAAAATGTAAAAGCTGGAGGCAGTTTTAATTGGAATAAAACATTCGGCTTTCACATGGTTACCACCTGTCATGTACTATATACTAATCAAGACCCACCATTTTTGGAAGGTAAACACTCTTATTTTTCTTATGATTAGATACAACAGTGCAAGTTTTTTTTCTCAGAACAATTGAATAAAAGAATTTAATGCTGAAAATTTTCTACTTCTGAGCATGATTTACTTTCTTATTAGCATTATATAAGTTAATCTCTATTTGAATGATTCTTAGGGTTTTTTTAACCAAATAAATTGCAAGGTATTTTTTTGTGAACATTAAAGTATAAACTTATTTTTGGCTTTTAAAAAATTTACATATTGAATCAAGGTTTAAAATAGGGCAAATAGTGAGGATGCCTGCATTGAACAGGTGTTAGGTGGCCTGGCTATATGCTGAGCTCCAAACCGAGAAATTGTTGGTTGTCTTAGTTTTCCCTGGAATTGTTTTTTCTTAGGCAACCAGGGTGACTGAATGGAAACACAGGCAAACTAGGTGTCCTCTCTGTGGGGTGAGGATCAGTTTCCCCAGAACTAGAGCCTACATCAAGCACAGGCCTAAAACATAACTTAGTCTTGGGCCTGGGTACTATTCCTCATGTGGATTTAAAATGACAAGAATATGTGCAGGTGGGCTGTATAGCATAGATCCTAGAGTTCTTGATGAGCCCATGTGTTTTAGAACAAAGTATAACATGGTAAGTTATTTACCTCAAAATTTATTTCACCCCTCTAGTGAAATGATACTCTTTTAGAAGTCACTAATAAAGACTCCAAATGATGCTCTTTCCAGCAATACCTCCTCTCCACTTAGTTTCATTTCCTTCTTTCCAAGGCCTCATTTCCTCCCCTATGTAACTGTCATTAATATTTGAATTTTAAAAGTGGAAGGTACCTTTAAGATCATCTGATCCGGAACTTACAATTTTCAAATGGAGACTCAGAAGCCCAGAAAGGAAGCGGTGATTCCTGAGCGCTTACACTTGATTGGGAGCACGCCCCTGACCACTACTCCATTAGTTTTCCTACTGTAATGCATTTCCTTGCAGCAGGAGAAAAGAAAACCAAAACCAAACCAAATTCCTTGAAACTTGAAAATATCTGTCAACCCCAGCAAACTATGAAGGACTGTTTTACTACCTATAGAAAAGAACTGGTGGTGGTGGTGGTGAGTTTTGAGACAAAATAAATAACATGTTTGCTTATGATAGCATGTGCTCCTCCATCCCAAGTTTTAGTTCTCCCCATTCCATGTCCTTTGTAGGTCATTTCTGACTGACCGTTTTCTGTGGAGAATTTGGGGGAAGGCTGTCCACCAGAGCAGCAAATACTCACTGTTTATGGTACCTGCTAGTGCATTAATATTATTCAGTCCAACAGTGGCTCCAGCCAGTCCTTGCAGAGTCCCAAGAGAGGTCAAGGAATTCATGGCTGCACCAGCAGTGGAGTTGGGGGTTGAAGCAGCCACTGAAAATAAAAGAGGAAAAAAGAGAGAGAAAACACAAGATGAGTGAAGAAAGAAAACTGACTGAAAAGCTGTCATTACAGCAGACAAACTGAGAAGTCCTTTAGCCATTGGAAGCCGACCTCCTCCATTATGTTTGTGTGGAAGTGCACATGGGATTGTACCATTCTGAGTTAAAGTGATCATCATCGTGGCCTAGAGATTCAAACCAGCACCGCGCGCGCATACACACACACACACACACTCTCTCTCTCTCTCTCTCTCTCTCTCTCTCTCTCTCTCTCTCCAGCTGGTTTTCCAATAGTGAACATGTCTGCTGCTGGCTATGGAAGAACTGCTGTGAGTGGGAGGCCTGTCATTCTGCATGATACTCCATTAGCCCCATGGTATGAGAGTCTCAGTCCTCTTAGCTACTTTGTCATCCAGGCTGAAAAGTTACTGCAACAAAAAGGGGTTGAGGTAGGGAATTCATTGCAATTTCTTGGCTTTCTTATTGTTTCTGCTTCAGATATGGTATTTCCTCAGGTTTTAGAAAAACATAAAATCATGCAACTTCCTGAATTTGACAAAACCTTAGTATCTAGATGTCATTATTAAGAGTGGTATGGGATAAACCCATTTTGGTACAAATCCACTCCTCATATTCCTCTTTGAAAAATAATAGCTTTAGTGGGCTATAGTTCACATGGCATGAAAGTTTTGAATGTAATTCCACAAGTCAGTGGTTTTCAGTGTATTTAGAGTTGTATAATCTTGTCTAATTTTAGATTACTTTTATTGCTCTCAAAGAAATGCACGGTCATTAGTACTTACTCTCCATTTTTTCCATTCCCATCAGTATTTACTAACCTGCTTTCTGTGTCTATGGATTTGCCTAATTGGACATTCAGTAGTTTTACTTTGACTGTTTTCAAGGTTAATCCATGTGTTGTAGCATGTGCCAGTAATTCATTCCTTTTTATTACTGAGTAATACTCTATTATATAGACGTGTAGATAGCATTATATTTTGTTATCTATCCTTCCCAATTTTGAACTATTTATGAATAATGATGCTATGAACATTTGGGTACAATTTTTTATGTAGACATACATTTTTAATTCTTTTGAGGCAGGGTCTTGCTTTGCAGTGCAGGCTTAAACTCATTACGTAGCCCCAGGTGGTCTCAAACTCATGGCAGTTCTCTTGCCTCAGCCTCCCAAGTGCTGGGATTACAGATGTGTCCCACCACATCTGGATTACATTTTTAATTCTTTTTGAGTATGTATTTAGGAATGGGATTGTTGGGTCATGTGGTAAATTTATATTTAACACTTTGAGGAATTGCCCAGTGTTTTCTAAAGTGGCTTACCAAATTTTTTTTCCAAAATGGTTTCCAAAGTGATTCTTTTGTATATACGACTGCTTCTTTAACTATTTCAAGTATTTTACATTCATCTGGCTCTGTAATTTGATCCTTTCCTCACACAGCATTTCATTGTATTATGGTGATGAAGATAAAGGCTAAATTTGATTCTGACCACCAATGAATGAAGAATTTAGTCCATTTTTAGCTGTAAAATCCTGAGCATGTAGATGTCCTTTCTATCCAGGAAAGCAGGAACTCTGTCTTCAAAGTCCACACAGCATTGTACCTTTTGGGTTAGGCCAAGTTAAATTTCTAAAAGTTCACATTTTTTAACGTGTTAAATTTCTATTCATTCATGGCATTCGCTTCTGATACTTTTTTCTGTCTTAAAAAAATTTAAATGGTAATTATATGTAATCCAGTCAATGTTTCTAGTTCTTTTGTATCATGAAACTTATCAAACACGCACAAAGCAGAGATAATAACAAAACAAAAATCCTATAAAACAACCTCTAGATTCTGGAATGTTCAAGAACCAGCCTACCCTTTCTTTGGATATGTATTTTAGTATATGACCTTACATCATTCACCTATACATACTTCAGAATGTACTTTTAAAAATTATAGAATTTGGTTTTTAAAACCTTGAAACTATTATTGTGCATAACAATATTAACAGTAATTACAGTACTTGGTTTCACAGTTGAAATGAGAATTTGGTGAGCTGAAAGACAAATGTGTGGATACTATGTGTAACTGAGAGTCTGAGATAGAAAATATGAGAGGTTATATGGAATATATCTAACATAGCTCTAGCTGAAGTTTTTGAGAAGAAAAAAAGAGAATGGAGATAAGGTAAAAAAGAGTTAATGACCAAGAAGTTTTTGAGAACTGATAAAAGACAAAAATCTATTATGTTTAGGTATCCCAGTGAGTTTCAAGCATGAAAAATAAAAACAAATCTTTAATTTTATTCACCATAGTAAAAAATGAAAAACACCAAAAATGACGTAAGTTCTTTACAACAGCTAGATGGGGAAAAAATGCCCTCAAAGGACTGTAATATCTCAGTAGTAATAATGATAGCCAGAGGGCAGTAAAATGTACCAATAAATAAATGTCAAGCCAGCATCCAATAAAAATTTATCTCATGAACTGTTTTGCTCACCAAATTCTTCAGTTGTATCTGATATGCTTTTAAAGTTATGTATCCAGTGAATTTTATAATTACTATGCTCATCACATCTAAAAGTTTATTTTGTCAAAGTGCCTGATTATTTTTGATCAGCTGCTTTTTTTCAAATACTTTCAAATTTCTGTAAACATTAAATGTATTTCCTTTGTTGTAATGTACTAATAATTCCAATATCTGAGATGTTGGTAGACCTAAATATATCTAACTGTGTCTCTATGGCTTTTTACTTTTGGTCCTCGGTTTACCTGTATATTTTTTGATTCTGGGTTTAATTGCCTTGGAACATTATTTCGGAAAACTCTCTCAGGCCTGGGTTGAAAATGGGTCCTTTCAAAGACAGCTTTAGTTTGAGGATTTCTGATCATTCAGATAACAAGATTTAGTTAGAAGCGGCTGTGAGGGGTTGTTTATTGTTATTAATTTCCAGAGGGAAATTCTCTTACTTGCAGTCAGCACTAAGTTGGAGACAGGCACTTTGCTTTATAGTTTCTGAAGGGGAACCTTTCTTGTTTCTCTTATACTAACAGTTTAGCCTTTTGGAGCATCAGAGTTCTATGTGGATGCCTCCTATTACTGTGGATTCCTCAGGGCGGCTCTGGATTTCCTTATACCCCTTAGGCTCCAAGAAGCTTTTGACAAGTGATGCCCAAGTTTACCTTTTTCACCAAATGTCCTTAAGGTGAAAGTCACTTTCAGTGTCATTACTTCTGAGTCCTGCCTTTTATGTTATTATTGATTTATAATTATTCTACTAATTTACTAGTTACTGATGTAACTAAAATATTTAAACAGTATCATACTACATATTTTAGTTTTTTTTTAAAAAATGGGAGTGGTTCTTAGTACTTAGTGTACCTAAACTTACAGAAATAGAATTTCTCTCTTTGCTTATATCTGGTATATGTCTGATTTCTATATTTAAAAGTCCTTACCCAATTTCTGTGCCAGTGAGTTAGGGGGTAAAAAAGTATCTCAAATGCGTGTTTGGCTTTTGAACCAGTCTGAAAAACTTCTAGAAATTTTAGGTGATACCAGGGAAGCCCTTCTAGTATGGCAGTATAACAGTATCTATGGACCAGCTATTTCTGGTGAAAACTATGAAGTTCAATGATTTAAAACCTCTGAAAATTGTCCAAGTACATGTACAAATGAAGACACATACTTCTTAGGAAAACTTGCCAACTCTAAGAACAGAGACTACCTGTGACATCTCAGCGGCAACCACAACTGGCTTCTTTCTCTGGTGCCACCTCTCCCCTGATTTCGGACCTGGAGTAGAGTGGAAGCTGTACTCTAGGTGAGTATGGCAAAGAAGATGGGGTTCTTTTCCCGCTAGCTCCAAACCCAAGGCTATGGTAGAAAGATGTCCCACGGCCTCTGTGTAAGTGTAGGAAAAGAAGTACTGGCCCCATTCATTCTCAGTCATGTCACTTATTGGCTGGAGGTTCCATGTGGAGAAGTGTTACCCTGCACAACCCTCTTGTAGACCAGTGGTGTCAAAGAAAAGCAGACTGCTATCTCTGTAGTAGTCCTGGAAGCAGTCACAAGAGGTCTGTAGGTAAGATAGACTGTAAGAATGCAAAGGTCTATAGCTCTTCCAAGAGGAATGCATTTGTTTGAAACAGATAGTGGGAAAGTTCAAGCCTAAGAAAACAATAAAAATTTTAGTGGGGAGCAGTTAGGATGAGGCTGATAGTCCATGATAGCATAGTCCTGAAAGCTTAACAGAGAGAACCTAAGGAGTGCTTCCTAGGGTACAGGGAGGCTTTGGACTCGCTCAAGGGAAAAGGGCCTGGTTTAATGAGAGACCAGACCAAACAACTAGAAATTATGGAGACTGAAAGCTTTGTGTTGCAGTAGAGACAGATCAGCCAGAAATGTTAAAAAAAAAAAAAAAAAAGCCCAAAAGGCAAAGTCATTTGAAAGAATGAAAAGGATGTCACTAATAGCCCAAGGCCATTCCTTCTGATGACTGAGGGGTGACCAGATGTACACCATGGGGAACAAACCTCACTGAACTAATCTTGCTAAGTTGCTAAGCAAATAAGGAAACAATTTGTGGAAAGAGGAAAGCGGGGTAGAATTGCTGTGGTACATTATCTAAAACATCCAGCTAACAAAACATTGTAATAAACACAAAGAAACATATCAGTGACCTATACACAGGAAAACAACAGACAACACAAAGTGTTTTTGAAAGGGCCCAGATATTAGACTTAACAGAGGAAGACATCAAAGCAGCTATTATAAATATATTCAGAGTACTAAAAGAAAGTATAATAAAGCCATGATGGCAGTACTGTACTAAACAGCAACAGAAAGACAGAAATGACAAAAACACAAATAGAAATTAAGGCGTTAAAAAGTAAAGAACTAAAAGATAACCATTTTTTCTTATGACTCCACAGCAGTTTTGAAGAGGCAGAAAAATGAGTGTACTTGAAGATATATTGCTATGT